TAGACATCCTGTGACAACCAAAAAATATTTTGTGGTCCAGACTTTTATTGGCAAAGGCTGGTTTTGTCAGGAACATAAAATGGAGTTGTAGCTCTTTTCAGAGAGATAACCATGTTAATCTGTTTTCAGTATGTATAAGAAAAATAAAAGTAAACACGCGTCCAACGAAAGGAGTTTTAATCCACGAAACCTCACACTGAAATTAATGTTACGTCACTAAAGTTGCCACAGCACTTTAGTTTTTGGATGATTTTTTGTTGTTGTTGGGTTGTGGGGCTTTTGTTGTTATGTATCATGAAAGGAAGTTGGTAGATGAGGCGTACAGTTGAAGCAAAGCAGTTTTGATTCCCTTCAGCTAAAAATGTAGAAGCCCAAGATTTGCAAATGGGATAAAAATGCTTTCCATAGAGAAGGTTCTGTATACAATTTTATGCTTTATGCTTCAAGAAACGCTGAATCTGAGTGTAGAACCTAAATAGATTTGTAGAACTATGAATGGTTTTCTTAGCCTTTAGTATCAAGAAGCAGGGCAGGAAGTTAATGAGCAGCCCCTGCAACATTTGTTGAATATCCCTCTGCTGCTTCTGAGATTTCTCTTCTTCGCATTCAAGCAAGCATATTTATACAAATACAAGGGCAATAGACCTGTTCCTTGGTGCACAGGAAAAATGAAATCTGTTCTGAAAATTGTGTTTTGTATTTATTTTCCTGCATCCCTTCTCTTTTCTCTCTCTACCCTGAATTCCTGAAAGGTAAACTAACCTCTTGATACATAGAGGTTATGGTGGCTGTGCCCAGGCTGCAGAACCCGTTATCCTAACAAACCTGTCTAGTCGCTTTCTTCCTCAATTTGTTACCATCTTGTGTAGGATAGTAACAAAATATTATTTTTTTCTTAATTGTATATGTATTATTTTTTTAATTTCTGATCTTGCTTTGTTTTTTATTAGTGCTCTGTTTATTTTTTGAGTGCCATTTTAATCCAACCTTGCTCGCTGCCTTGGGAGTTCTTGGATAGAAAGGCAGGATATAAATTGACTAAAATAGTCTCTTCTTTCACTGTAAATGAAGTTTCATCAATTTCATCAGATATGTAGGAAACATGTATTAACCTCAGAGGAGCAATTGCAAGTGTTACTCCTCTGTGGCTTATGCGATTGATACATACTGAGAAGAGAAGCATAAGGAAGAACTATTAGTGTAACTTAGGATTTTAATAAAGCCACCTTATATTTATTCGTTTCAGTGCTGACACAAGAGGCAAATTCAGTCTCTGATCTTCAGTCTCATTCTTTTTGCCTGGTGGATGATAAAACACTGCCATCTGACTGGTCTTTGCGATGCCTGCATTGGCACTTGAGGTTTTATCTGGCTATGCCACCTCTTATTGAGGGCAAGCGAATGATTGTGCAAGTGGAACTGACAATAGCTCACAAAGATGTGACACTTTTAATATTCTTTCCCTTGTGTGAAATTAATACCAAATTGCAGTCGCAGCATGATGCGTCCTCCAATTATCTTCAGGGAAATACAAAATTCGCATATTAGTTTATGAGGTGTGTTTGCTTCAGCATTCAGAACATTTCATAGTGTTGTGAGATGGTGTGGGATCTAGAAGTGTCCCTGCAGAAAGCTTTTGTTTCTAAATTCCAGTCTGGGTCATATGTCTGTGATTCTACTTTTGGTATAATGAATGGGTGACTATATTAAAATGGAAGATAGCTTCAAGATAAAATTAATCATTCGGTTCTGACCATCGGAATAAAAATGATGATGATGATGATCATGTGCTGTCAAGTTTATTCTGACCAAGACCTTTTTCAGGGTTTTCCAAGCAGAGAATACTGTGGTTTCCCCTTCCCTTCTTCTGGAGGCACCGTAGGAATGTGCAGCTTGCCCAAGGCCACACAGGTTGGCTCTTCTCCTGGGAGGCACTACCAACATCTGGCTCCCCAACCAGATACCTAAATCACTGAGCTATCCAGCCAGCTAACCATCTAAATGCAAGCTGCAAAAACACTCAAGAGAGCTATGTACTTTTTTTTGTTCAGGTGATTGTTGTACTTCAGAGCCACTGGTATATTCCCAGTTCAGCGACTGCTACAGGAGACAAAAAGGAAGAGCTCGAATCTGAGCTCAGGTCCTGCCAAACTCAGATGCTCATTCTCTTCCTCTGTTGAGAGAGAGAAAAGTTGAGACTTCTAAGATCTTGACAGGGTGTGATTCCAGCTCCTACACCCTTTCATTAGAGAAGACTGCAGAGACATTGGAGTTCAACACTCTTTGTTATTTCTTTGATCAGAAAGGGACAGATAGCAGCCCTCCAGTTTTTGGTAGCTTGTACCTTAGCCATTGCAGTGAATGGCAAGAAATGCTGGCACTACTAGTCTAGGGCAAAATATTGCCAGCTCCTATCTTAGGTGAAAGGGAGATGGATTCATTTGGCTTTGTGTGCTACCCAACTGTGGCAATTACTGTCACTAGGTGCTCCTCAGTAAAAAACTCAATTTTTTTCAGATCAAATGAGGAAGAACTGGAGAGGACTATATTATTGGCAGATTTCAAAGACACTACTTTAGGCTCAGTATATCTCTTGAGATATTCAGTAATTTAGACATTGTTGAATTGCTTTGTTGAGCATTTTATCTCCATGACTTGTGCCTCAGCAATTCTCAAACTGGCATCGCAATGATTGTTGAAAAGCTTCTTGTAACCATAATGTGTATCTAGAAATTCAGGTGGTTTAATGCATCATGTCTTGAGGCAAGGACATTATCCAAGGCTACTCTGGTTCTCTGATAGCAGGTGATCTTAAGTAAGGTAAAGGTAAAGGTTCCCCCTGGCATTTAGTCCAGTCGTGTCCACCTCTAGGGCTTGGTGCTCATCTCCGTCTCCAAGCCATAGAGCCAGTGTTTGTCCAAAGACAGTTTCCGTGGTCACGTGGCCAGCGCGACTAGACACGGAATGCTGTTACCTTCCCACCAAGGTGGTACCTATTTATCTACTCACATTTTGACATGCGTTCGAACATCTAGGTTGGCAGGAGCTGGGACAAGCGACAGGAGCTCACTCGGTTGCGTGGATTCGATCGTAGGACTGCTGGTTTTCTGACCTTGCAGCCCAGAGGCTTCTGCGGTTTAGCCCACAGCGCCACCATGTCCCTCTTAAGTATTAAACCTCTAATGTGTTAATTGTTGTGTTGTAGAAAAGCACACGGTATACATTTTGCAAACTAAAGCATATAAGGAAGGCTATTTCAACTGGCCAGCTTGTCTTGTTTTGCTCAGACTATCTCCTAACAAGAGGCACTTCTAAACAGTTGAGAAAATACTACCTGCTTTGGGGGCTGAATTGCTTCTGGGAGGATCAACATAATATGGCAACCTTTTGTTGTGGAGTCACATTTGCATTCTTTGTTAGTCACGTTTGACTGCTGCATCTTCCTCTCGGAAAGGCTGTCATTCATTTTTAGCAGAATCTGCAGTTCTCTGAAGTGTGTAAAAACTCTTCCTTGATGAACTAATGAAGTGTTGCTAAATAGTACTTGTGGATGTCTTCACTGTGCTTGTCAAGAGTCTGCAACAGCAATGAGACAGCTGATTTTAAAAGTGATATCTTTATGTTTAAAAATGTTCTGTCTGCCCCTGATTTATTCATGCCTACCCCAGCATGCAGTGCCAGTGATGTAGTTCGTGCATTGGTTCAGAGTTAAATGTCAGCAGAAAATTAGATCTGTAAATTTTCACAAAGGGTATCTCACATATAATTGCAGGGATAATTAAGAAGCATATTTCTGTTCTGCAGAGAAAAAAAGCAAGCATTACAGCAGGGTGGGAATTTAGATTTGAGATTCTCTCTTTATGTGGCACAGGAAAGTAACCTAATTTGTACATGCTGGATAACTTCCATTTTGTAGAGAAAAGACCAAGGTAGATTAAATTTTGTGCTTTTTGTTGATAATTTTCTGAGTCTTGGAATTGTCTATACTTCCATAAACTCTATTTCTTTGCTTTTCAATTACTCTTTGCACCTTTCTGAGATCTCCCCAAAACTAACCTTTAAGGAGACATTGTAGTTTTGTCACACATCTTTTGTACAGTGTATTCATTTAGTTACAAAAGCAAATACAGTGATACTTCAGTTTACGAACTTAATTCGTATTGGAACGGTGTTCGTACATTGAAAAGTTCACTAAGTTGAGGCAAGATTTCCCATAGGAGTGCATTGAAAACCATTTAATCCTTCCAGGCTGTTTTTTGTTTATATGTCGAGGTGCTGTTTGTAAGTAGAGGCATTAGTTTCCATAGGAACTAATGCAGTGCCGATTAATCCGTACTCTACCACTGGGGGGAAAATTTTTAATTTGTTCTTCTTTTGACCTAAGATGAACTTAGGTTAAAAAAAAAGGACAGAAAAGGTTTTTCTTTCGTATGTTGAGGCTCCGTTCGCAAGTCGAAGCAACATTTTGCAACCGGAGCTGTTTGTAACTCGAAACATTTGCAAGTGGAGACATTCGTAAGTTGAGGCACCACTGTAGGTGGTACATTTTGTTAAGTATTCATATTCTATTAAGCATTTAAAATTCAGTGATTATTTACACCTATATGTTGTCTGAATCACTTGGAATCAGATTTATTGCAAGTTTCACATTTGAAATCAGGGGGAGCACATGTTTCAGTTAGCATAGCAAGAATGTCTGCTTCTTGGCAAATCTTTGCTTGGTTGTACAGTTGTGGGTTTGTTGTGATAATTTATTCCCACCAAGATACCTACTTTTTTGGGGGGGGGAGGGACAAATGAATATTTTGGTTAACTCCTGTCAAGACTATGAAACAGCATTATGCATGTACGTACAGCAGTTACAGAGCCTTCTCATACAGATTGCAGATTAGGTAACAAGGCTTTGCCGTACATTAGCACCAGTTTATAAACTTATATTTCCTGTGCTTTTCATACAATTTAAGGTGACTTTTTCTGCTGGGCTTTTGTGTCCCCAATAGGTGCTCTTTGGATGTGTATAGTCTTAAATCCCCATTGCAAAGCAGAACAAAAGGCCAGTTGGCTGAAACAACTGAAGAAATGGAACAGTGTTGATGTTTGCCCCTGGGAAGATGGGAACCATGGAAATGACCTGCCCAGTCTAACCAATGCTTTGCCTCAGGGTGCAAATGCAATCCAAGGTGAGCCCTCATTTAATTTGCTCCCTTTGATAGAGATCATAATAACATAGGCATTATCATCTTTGTTTGTTTTGGACTAATTTTTTATTGCCTCTGATTTTTCATGATGGTGCAACACATAGTCAGAAGGCACTAAAGCTACACTTGGTTGCTTGCATGCATGGCTGCTGAATGTGTCTTAACACATTTTGTGGTAATGAGCCACAACCTATTATGTTCTTCTATATCAGCCACCTTCTTTACCATGTTATAGGGAAAAATCCATGTGATAATCTTCAGATATCTGTGTTGGAAATCCTCCCCGGAAAACCCCAAAATTACTCTCCAAAATATTACTATTTTTTATGTGAGCCTGTTTCTTAATAGACACACCTTAGAAAATAATGGAGTAGGATTTGCTTTATCAAGGAATACTTAGCTGATCGGGACTCCTTGTCCACTTCTTTGAACATGGAACTCCTCAGATCAACATGCTTTGTCATTCTACCAGGAGCCAAGTTATATGAGAACTTTCAGTACATAATTCCCTGCTGCATGTTATTCTCAGATCTCATGGAAAGTTTCATTGCTTGCCAATTTTTCCATCTGTGTGACACTTCATGGCACCTAGCAGCCACTGCCCCATGATGTCAACACTCCTTCTGCTGAGCCCTAGAAAGTTAAACTTGCTACTAAAGAGGAGGTCTTTTCCTTCTGTTCAGAAATACACTGGAAGTTTCTGCAGTTGTCTAGCAAAGAAAAAAAAAGCCACCCAAATAAGGTCTTTTACTGGACCACTAAAATATTGCAAACAGGAGATTTTCATTCCTGCTGCCAAAAGCTGCTTTCTATGATATATTAATGGTTTAATGAAGGTATCACCCACTCTCGTCTTTGGATTTTTAGCGTTCAGTTCCTTTAAAGGAGGTAGCAGTGTTAGTCTGTCACAGCAGGAACTACAAAGACTTAGGTGGGACATTTCAGGATTTTATTTGGCATAAGCTTTCCTGGACTGCAGCCCACTTCTTGAGATGCAAGTTGAACACTGTTTAATTCAGTGTTTAATTTTACAAAGCCATGTAATCAGGCATCAAATCTCTTCATTTCAGACTTTTTGTTGGCAAAAATCTTTGATTCCTTGGCTGTTCTCGCCAACCACCAAAATCTAAATTTCTTATGCTTTTATTTGATTGCCATTGCTTGAGTCTGTGTCAATATCACAAAATAAGTTTCAACCAGAGTAGGTCTGTTGAATCAGTGGAACTTTTTACATAGTTATTGATTCATCAAATCTGCACTGACTCATTGTGTCTACTCCAGTTGCAACTTATTCACTAGATTTGAGCCCATGAAATGTTTATCAATACCAGCCTTCTTTTAACTTAGTGTAGTGGAGACTGATGTATTTTTATAGAGAAATTAATAAATTGTGTAAGAGAAAGTCTCACTTCATTAGAATTTATGTACTAATGGGGTTATCAAGAAACATTAAAGTGGAGGTGGCTGAGGGAGATGTGTGTTGTCGTGTAATGGAATAAAAAGTGAAATTTTTTGAACTTGTGGACTGGACAGATTCATCAAATAGGTCTCACCGGACGGTGTTCACTCGAGCCATTGAGGCATGCGATCTCCACTGGCAGGACAGCCACTTACAGCATATTATCAGCAGTGACCTATATACCAACTACTGTTACCATGATGATGCTGAAAATTCGCTGTTTGACTCTCACGGGTGGCCCCTCTGGCATGGTAAGTGGCTCAACTGGAATGTCGTTTCCATCTGTTCCTGTGGCACTATTTTTTTTTTAGGTGTCAACGTCGTTTCCATACACTCAAAGCTTCCATCTGTTTCTGTGGCACTATTTTTTTTTTAGGTGTCAGGGAAAGGAATAAAAGGTCTGGCAATGACAACAAATAATCTCTTTCTTGTGTTAATAGATTCTTAAACGAAACTACAGTGGATAGACTCTTCCATAATGCCTTCTCCCTTTTCTCTGTTAGAACATGTACCTACAGCTTGTGCAAGGGTGGATGCACTAAGATCTCATGGCTACCCACGAGAAGCGCTGCGGCTAGCAATAGCTATTGTCAATACTCTAAGGAGGCAGCAACAGAAGCAGCAGGAAATGTTCCGGTTCCAGAAGAAAGGTGAATGGAGGCAATGGGCATAACAGAGGAAGGTTGGAATGGTGTCAAGTTAGGAACTGTTGGATAGCTCAGTGGTTTAGGTATCTGGCTGTGGAGCCACAGGTTGAGAGTTCAATTCCCCTATTGTGCCTCCTTGACAGGGGCTGGACTTGATGATCCGTACAGCTCCTTCCAGCTCTGCAGTTCTAAGAGGATGATTAAGCAAATGCTATTTGAAAATGTAGCACTGCAGATGTGGTGCACCATGACTGATTCTAGCTGGCATTTAAAAGTGGTTTGTTGCCAAGCTCTGCATTGGAATGAAACAGTTTGTCTTTACCAGTAAGCAAGGTAACTCAAAACAAAAAATCATGTTGATTTAGAGTTCTTATATCTCTTTGTTTCTTCTCTTTCCCTCTCCCTCCTTCCCTCCCTCTTTCTCCCATCTATATTCAAAGCAAGAAATTATTTAGGAATTTGTAAGCTGCTCCAAATATAAAATCATTTGACAAATGTGGCAAGACCACTAAAAATCATCACACAGTACATGAGCTTTTGTAGATAAAGTTGTGTTTTTATCCCCAAAGCCTTGTATATTGCATGATGATTTTTTTTAGTAGTCTATAAAGGTATCACCATTTTTTGCATTGGAAACAAATGTATCTTTAGATCCTTATCACAAATGTGGGATGGGTCGAGTGTCCCTGTTGAGTGTATCTTAGTGTTCAATCTAGGTATATTGTATAAACTGTGTAATGAATGCTGTGGTCAAATTTCTAATGTGGTGTGGAATGGAAGTTATTTAGTTGAAAGAAACTAAAAAATTTTGTTGTACAAAAGCAAGTTTTTGTGTATTACTAATTTTCTTCATGTGTTTCTCCCTTCTTTTTTAAGTGGTGGAATATGCCAAAATAAAAATAAAAATACAGTTTCTATGTATTCTATGTAGAAAATACATGTTCTGTGTAGAAAAATTGAAGTGCTAATACAAAATAAAAATGGAGTTAGAAGTACAGATGGAAAATACCAAAATAAAGTTAGGAACTACTAAGCTTCAATGCATTTGTTTGCAACTATGGCCTCTACACATTTTACATGGTGCTTCAGATGCAGTCATCTCCCCCCTTCTTAAAAGCAAAGCAAAAAGCAAAGTGTGCTGTTTGAATACCACCCCAAAGAACTCAAAGCATTCTCTGGGTGATTTGCAGTTTAATTATACAAGCTACACATTGCCCCTCCCCATGAGCTGGGTACTCAATTTACCGACCTTGGAAGGATAGAAGGTTGAGTTAACCTCTAGCCAGTAATCTGAGCCCAAGATCTAACTCAAGGTCATAAGCAGTCTTCACTGAAGTACTGCAGTTTAAGCATTGTGCCACAAGCTTCCCATTCAATGCTGAATGAAAAAAAAAATCCTTATAGGTTTTCCACTTTTAAGAAGCAAAACCTACAAAAGCAAAAAAAAATTGTTTTAGTATTTATTTTTATTTATTTAAAATATTTAACCCGTCTTTCACCTTGAAAGGGACCCAAGGTGGCCTAGAACAATTAAAAACAATATTTAAAGTTGAAAACAATGATTTTGCAACAGTGGTTAACATCATTAAAAGACAAAATTACAACTGCAAACAATTAATAAAGAGACATCTTACATCATTAACAAGCAATATTAAGGCAAAGATCAATAAGTATAGATTTTTTTTAAAGAAAATGTCACTCTGAGAAATGGAAAGTACAAAAATTGAAAACACAAGTAGTACCAAAAATCCAATCAAAGCAGTAACACATAGCAGTCTATCTAAAAATCACAGACAGGTAGCGAGCAGGCAAGACCTTTCTCTTTGGGCAAGCCTTCCCTCAGCAAAGATGGGGCCAATCTGGCCTCCTGTGGGAGGGAGTTCCAAAGTCTGAGGGAAGCAACAGAGAAGGCTCTTTCCTGTCTATTCCATCCCCTACTGACCCTAGCCCTATGTTGTATGTTTGTTGATAACATGCCTGCAGACATAAATGCTGCTAAATGTGTACAGTTTGTCCCCATGATTAGAAATCTTGCATATTCAAAATTCTAAAGTTTCCCAGTGCAGACAGGGGATGAAGCTAGTAGGGAAGTATCCAGTGGTAGACTCAGTGCTTGGAGTCCTGCTCCTTCTCTGTGCTTTATTCATTCTGTAGATAAACTGATACTAACCTGGACTAGTGTTGATTCTACAGAACATTAATGTCTATTTAAAAAAGCTTTTCAAGCTTTTTCCTAATTTTAAAAAATCAACAGACAAAGCATCTAGCACCTTAATGCAGAGATCAGCTGCTTCTGGCATTTCTGTCAAATCTGAGGTTAGAGAGCTTCTGTGTTGTAATACTCTGCATTAGAGGTTTTTCACTTCCAGCTGCTAAATTTCTTCCAGAAACAGCTGGAATTAATTTTTCTCTGTAAATAAAATGTTGTAAGTGAAGAAATTCTGCACAGGATGATTCTTCCAATTTGCTTTGGGGTTGTTTCTGCCTTATTCTGCTATTTTCGGTACCAGTGTTTTGACTGATTTTGACTACATAACCTTGATGAAGACCTTGAGAGTGCTCTGCATTTCTGATACAGTATATGCAGTGACGTTTGACAGGTTTACTTACATTGACTCTAAACTTCTTGCCAAAGTAATTTACAAAAATAAATTAGACTTTTCTTTACTCCAAACCTTTAAGAGATAAACAAAGAGAAAATATTCTTTGGGGATAATGCTGTCATCTCAAAATACTTTGTGTCTGGCAGTTTATACAGTTGTACTTCACTCATCTGTGCTCTGCAGAAATTGTGCTTAGTTGATGATTATTGGCAAGTAAAATACAGCATGGGAAAGTAAGTCTGTCCACAGATTTTTCTGTAGGCAAGAAACCTAGAAGAGCTGCTTGCTCCAAGGAGCTTCACCTGCAGAGCCCCTTGTCTGCTCCCTTCCCTGGGATGCCATATATGATGCTCTTCTGCTGGGAGAGTACAGATTAAAAGGCCTTCTGGAGCAGTGATAGAAGAAGACTTTTTAGTTGGTACTGGCAGACACAAAATGCATAAAGTTTTGCATTCCAGTTCAGCCAAAGAGCCTTTTGCTGACAAGCAGGCCTTGGAAGTCCCCTCCCATTTTTCAATTGAAAAGATTCTTTGAAGGATCTTCTATGCCTTAATTTGGGGAGCACGGCAGTAGGCTTGGCCTTACTGGACACTTCAGTTGGTAGTGGACCCCCTTCTGTCCTGTGCGCCACAGCAGGTTCTCTTTTAGCAAACATGAACAACAAACTTCATCCGTAATCACAACAACCTGCTCCTTTAAAGATTGATTACTTTGCTTTTCGTGTTCTGCTGTCTGTCTTTTTGTCTGTCTGTTTCTAGTTTCACAGGATTAGCTTAGTTAAAATACTGCTTCTTGTTTTTCTTGAAGAGGAAGCTAAGTAGGTTTTTTTCTGTGCATGCCACAAACTTAACTTCCTTTTATTAACTCTTCTGCTCTGACTAAAAGGCAGTTAGATAGCTTATTATGAGTGAGAAGGACAGGCAGCTTTGATCCATGTCTTAGCAGGGTAGGCAGTGAGAAGCTGCTTTATTCTTAATGATGCTCAAAGTTCAGTTGACTCAGTGTTCCTCTTCATTTCTGAAAGGGGGAAAACCGATTACAGTTCATATTCTCTGCTCAACAAAGTAGTGTTCAATCAAGATGCTTCTGCTGTTGGCATTATTAACTCTTACTGCGTGAGAACCTGGTTCAGAACCTGTGGGTAATCTTGGAATTACTTTTGCCTTGGAAGTCTGGATTCAAATGAAGTAGAAACTGCCAGCCTCGGTTTATTTACCTAAAAAATCAGAGTGTTTAAGATGAATTTTTAACAATGCAAAAATGGAAATACACATTGCATTTTAAGAGCAGTGTGTGGTTAGTAATGTTTTGTTTTCTTCTTTCCTGTTAAAGAACTTCTCCACAAAGGAGTCACTTCTATAACTAACTTGGAAGGCTGGGTTGGCCACCCACTGGATCCAATTGGTACCCTTTTTAGTAGCCTTATGGAAGCCTGTAGGGTAGATGATGAGAGCTTCCACGTGTTCTCTGACCTCTCAGGTAAAATTTGATCATAAGTCAAGTGTCTCTCTGTGTTTGTGTGATCATTTTAAAGCATGTTGAATTTTAACTTGGAGAACTAAGTCATGGTGGAACTAAAATATTTTCATGTTAAATATTCATTGAAATAAAGAAGCTGAAAATGCCGTGTGTTTTTGTGTATGTGCAAGCAGATGTATGTTCAAATGTTGGTGATATTAGTCATATTAAGTCATGCTCAGCATTTGTACTGTTTCAAGAGTTTGAAACAGTAATCCAGTTATAATACTTAACCACAACCATAGAAAAGGTAGTTCAGTATGAATATATTGCAGATTTTAGGAGATGGCTGAAGCTAAGAGAGCAATTTTCCTACAGCTACCTTATAAAATCATGGCAGAGGCAGTATTTTAGCGTAATCTCTTCACCGTTATTCTGTATCAGCTCTCCATAGATACCATCAGGAGTGCAACTGGAAATACTGTTGATAACCCTTATTTCCTCTTCTGGATTGGGCAGGTTTTTATGTCCTGTTACTTGGCATACAGTTAATGCTATCAAAAATGTTCTGCTGTTATTATTGTGAAACTTTGTGGGAAACGTACAAATGACACAGGAGAAAATGCACAAATAAGGTGTGGAGCAATAGTTAGACTACCTGGAGTGGCTTGAAAGTGTTCCTTTTGTAATGTTCCAGAGAACATGGGCCAGTGCAAATCTCTGGAGTACTATCACCTGCCAGCTCACAAGTTCTTCGAAGAAGGGGAATCTTACTTAACTCTAGCTGTGGAAGTGGCATTGATAGGACTGGGGCAGCAACGGATAATGCCCGATGGCTTGTACGCACAGGAGAAAGTCTGTCGGAATGAGGAACAGCTAATTTCCAAGCTTCAGGAAATAGAACTGGATGACACACTGGTGAAGATTTTCCAAAAACAAGCAGTCTTCCTATTAGAAGGTAGTTGCCTATTGACAGTAACCTCTTTTTACAAACAATTTCTAATTAGGGGTGGGGAGGTGAAAAGACAGATGTTTCCATAAGAGTTGATAATTATCAGATTCTTAGGAATCTTAACACTTCTGTTTTACATACCTGTATAGGTTGATCATCTCCTAGTCTACCATACTTCAGTATTGCATTGCTTTAGAAATGCAGCATCTTCTCACATGTGATTTCAAATATTTGGGATTTCCTACTGTACTCTGGTCAGTTCAGGCTAACCTACACAGACATTGAATGCTGAATTGCATGTTTATAAATACTGTATACAATTTGCTGCCACTACTCCCACTTTCCAGTGATACTTCTGAGGCCCCAGAAATTAAACTTTCTTGTGACCTTGACCTACTTAACATGACTTATTACAGAATTGTACATACCTGTATAGGGTGATGCAAAAGTGGCTTTATTCATAAACTTGCATGTGCAATACTGTCATTTTTGCCTAAGCTGGAAACTGTGTACTGATACTTGTGCCTGAACCTTTGCAAGAGGAAATCTGAAGTGCATCATCACATCATGGCTAGAATTGTAAATCATAAGTACTCAAGCAAAACAAATGCAAAAGTATGCACATTTATTAACCTCTAGAGAGTAGGATATTTTTTAGACAGAGATGCTAGCAGCCAAGGTTTTTGTGACCTTTTCAAAACTATATCCAGAATTGGAGCTGGTTTGTACTGATTTTGCAGAGGCTAACTTAAGTAGACCAACGTGGCCCAATCATCTTCTCTAGCAATCTTTTGCCTCGAGTCCCAGATTCATGTCTTTGAGAGTTATTCTTTGGTGATTGTACTCAAATAATCAATCTAAATATTTCCAACTTATAGTGAGCCTTCCTAGATTTTGGAAACAATAGTCAGAATTGGTTTGCTAGTTCTTGTTTCTGTTGGAGCCATGCAACTTGCCTAAGGGCACATTGTTGGCAGAGCATGTAACCCTGTTGGCCACATGTGCTCTGGGTGATTTCAGCTGGGCCCTCTTCTAGGAGCATGCTGGTGATTCAAATTCTTGGCCCCTTGTTACTTCAACTCATAGAGTTATTGCCAGCTAACAGCTAAATACTGGCCCACATTTTGATGTTTTTATGAAACTGTGTTTTAGCAAATATGTACCTGCTGCTTGTATAGCTGTTTTAAGTTTAATTTTTCTGGTAGATTGTAATTGTAATAATTTGAAAGAATCGGTTGCAAATTATTAATTGCAATATATTAATGATTAAAATAACACATTCCAAATTATTAAAATTATGGTAAATTATCTGCAAAATCTGCATTAAAATACCTATAAAATAACAGCAGCAGATAAATATTTGCTAAACCGTAATTCCATGAAATCATCCAAATGCAAAATATGTACATGTGAGTCTATTTAAGAGTAGAGGTATTTGAAATGTCACTGTTAATGAAAAACCTGGCTTTTCTTAGAGTGTTAAAACTAGGTTTTCTTTTGACATCAAGATGATGCTTCTTTTTAGCATCAGGGGATCATTAAAGAACAACTGCTTTCATTTTCTGTAGTGTAGTTTTACAGCTATGCTCCATCTCATCAGCTTTCTTGCACTAAAAAGGTGATGGGAAACATATGGTTTTACAGTCCTGGCAGCTTCTATGATCACTCCCTCACCTTCAGCTATGCTCATTACAATTGCCATCCCACCAGATTTCGGAAGGGTCACTCCCTCCCCTAGACCGGCTTTTTAAGATTGCCTAGTCTAGTTCCAATTATTGTTGAGTGGCTTTTCAGATTCTCCAAAATCTGATTAACAATAATGGCATTATTGAGATTAACAGTTATAAAATCTTACAGAACATTTAGCATTTGCCTAAAATCCATTTTTGTGTAAAATTCACTTTGGAAGCTCATGATCCCCACATAAAAAAATAAAAATAAATAAAGATCAGGTATATAGGAAGGTGCCTTATACTGAATCAGACTGGGGCCCCATCTAACTCAGTCCACACTGACTAGCAGTGACTCTCTAAGGTTTCAGACATATGTCTTTGAGGTCTCCTCTGCACAAAACATTGCTGTGTACAAAACATGTTTTCTGACATCTTTCCCAGATGTCATATTTAAATAGTAAAACAAAATAAACTTCTTTAAAAATGGGGGTGGGGGTATCTTCGGTACAGCAGTGCTCCTTCAGTATTACAGCCCTAATATTGCATGGGGTCTCTATTGTAAATCTGCTGTTCCGGTGGTGGACACTTGTGGCTTTGCCAATGTCATTACTTCAGCTTCCATCAGCCCTAGCCAGCAGAACGAAGGGTAAGATACCATAGGAGCTGTTGTCCAACATCTAGAGGACCACCAGGAGTTCACCTCTGAGCTAGGCATTTCTTCAGTACCCCTGTGTGGAAAAACTTCACTTTCTAATAATCCAGCTATTGAAGGCTCCTAAAGATTTGACATTTTAAAACGGCTTGCTTTTAGATACTTTATAAAATTTAACAAATGTTACTTTAACTCTGGGGTGTTTTTTTGAATCCAGCAAGAAAAGCTGTAGCCAAGCCATCTCATTTGCGCCAATAAGATATATTTATCACCACCATTTTCTTTTAGTACTGCACATTACTTAGAGGACCCTTCACCAGAGAGCTTATTTCTCTTCACTGTGAGTGCTTTCTTTTGCAAGGATTATTACAATATTTCTAGACAACTTTTAGTACATTTTGATTTCATGTATATTAAAACTGAAGTACTATTTATAAAGCTTTCTGTGTTTCTTTTTCCTTTTTTTCTCCATTCCCTTTCCCTCACAGCTGGGCCCTATAGCGGTCTAGGTGAAATAATCCATCGAGAGAGTGTTCCAATGCACACATTTGCCAAGTATCTTTTCACCTCTCTCCTACCTCATGATGCTGAACTAGCATACAAAACTGCACTGAGAGCTATGCGGTATGTGTTGTTAAAACTCATGTAGAAAGAAAGCACTAAACCGAGGCAACGGCATTGTGCATGAGGCCTTTTTCTGTACATGTAGTCCTTCTGAGGCAAAAAGGATGGGAACGGGGAGCAAGGCCTTTTTGTGTGTGTGTGGTGACACCCTCTTTTGTGGAACTCCCATTTCTAAAGGGGCTTGCCGGGTAAGCTCCGTAGACTTTTAGAAGACCAGCAGATGTCTTCCACTTTTAGGAAGATCTCTGTGGGGTATGATCCTGATAGAAGATGTATATTATACATTTGTTTATCTGTGTGTTTCTTCTAGCTTATGGAAATTTATATTTTAATTGGAAATATTTATGTTTAAATTGCAAAACTGGGAAACTGGCCATTGGGTAGGATATAATTTGAATAAAGGAATGAACAAGTAACAAAACCGCTTCAAGAAAAAAAGGTGTTCTTTAATGTTTAACTGGAACAGAAGTTGACATCAGATTAATACAGTAGTGTTTTTATATGAGTATACATGCATAGGATGAGTTCACGTTAAAGTGTTCTTCCCTAACTCTTCTGATTACTACTAGAAAGCCTCTGAATTGAGTCAGTACTTAACATAGGTATGTATATATTCATATTTAAACCTTCTGACACAAACAGTTCAATGTTGTAACTTTAATTTTCCCCTACCCTCCAGTATACACAGTGAAATTCAGAGGCAACTCTGACTTCTATCCTTCTAAGAAGAATATTTGATGTGCTTGACAGCAATGGCCAGATCTGGATTTGTGATGCAGTAATAAATAACACTTCAAGAGTATTGCCTTTGTAGATTGGTCTCCTTTTCAAGTCTGTGCTGCAGTCTTGAAACTCAGAAATGTCTGGAAAACAATGACAACTTTCTCGTCCCTGCAGCTCTACGCATTCTGTGCTAAGGCCTCTGAAGTCCTCTGTTGTGTTTAATGTTGTTGGTAGTAAATCCCAGAACTGTAATCTGTTTGGTCTGTTTTGTAGGGCTGTTTAATCCTGAAGCCCTTTTTGTCTTTTCCTAGCTGTGTTTCTCTTTATGCGGTGTGGGGGAGGGGGTAAGCTTCATGTTGGATCTAAACGGCCACCTGGACCAGTCTAGTTCTTTTGTCTGCCTCACTACCAGCCATCCTTGAGCATGCCAGTATAGAAAATTGGAAATAAATGAGGTGTGTCATGGCATAAAAATAGCTGATTGTCACCCTGTGTTTTCAGTACTAAGAAGCTAGGCCTGCCCCCAAGGGAGTATTGAGTCTAAACTGAGCTTGCTCCTTTGGGCAGATGCGAATTCAACCAGCGCAACTTACATATCACAAAAGAAGCTCCCTAGGAACATAGCCAACATACCAAAAGCTGGGGAGAGGGGGGAGGAAGGGCTCCATCTGGTAGCCCTCAGCTGTGCCCTTCTCTGTGGTTTAGAGAATTATCTACCAGACCTGGGGCACCTGGCAATCAGAATGTCATCTTCATTATGGATCAGTGCTCTAAGAATTCAGGAACATATGCATTGGAATGCTTAGGGCTGAGTACTTGATCAGGCCACCCATGTTCTGTGCCAAGAAAAGCAAGAGGCTTTGCAGACCTGATACATTATGGAACTTAACCAAATGTTGTATAATTTCTCTTTATTTTGCATTATATGATCTGATATCTTAAAAAGTATTTCATATGCGAACTTGTACTTATGCATGTATTTAATCAGCTATCTGGTAGACTGGAGTTCTCCTCCACTCTGATATTTATGTAGAAGCTGGATATCTTCAAGAAGCAATGCCTACTCAGTTTTTCCAAAACCTCACAACCATATAAACTATAAACATGCCTTTAAAAACAAAAAACAAAAACAAACTTGAGATTTTCAGGAATAAAGATACTCTATCCAAAACCACTTCCTGTGTTCCTCTGTGCTTTAGAATTGAACCATGTATGCAGCCTTGGGGATAGTTTAATTTACTTCATTGTCTCTGTGCATCTCCGACAATACAACTGCTCAGAGACCCTCTTTTAAACTTGATAGAACTAAAGATTTAGTTGAGACCTCAGCCCCTCTACCCTATTGTGCAAGTCACACATAAGACTCCTACTAACCTGAAAGGACAATGCAAAGCTTTCACATGTAGTCACTTGGTAATAATACATTATAATCTCAGTCATGCACATAACAGTTCATACATATGAACTGTATGAACTACATATGAGACATCTTGAAGTTGTTTCTCAAGATTATTCTGATACAATTAGATAAGATTGATGAAATAAGATTTGGGTTGAAGAGTACAGTATCCTTGGCCAGCCCAGGTTTATCTTGATGTCCAAATAATCACAGTAGTATAGAATTCACAGAGGATTCTGGGATGCAGCTTCCAGATAATGCATGGCTACCTGCAATTCAAGACTTTGATCCTGGCCCTAGCACTTAGATTTTAAAGGATCTCAGAGCTCACATTCTTGGACAGTATGCTGTTTCATTGGTAACTCCACCTGGAATCTCCTTGGGTCATTTCTGAAATGTCAGTGGCCGCAATTGATAGTAAAGCAGCGTATGTCATAGTAATTGTAACTAAGTAAGCAAGTGAGTAGTAAGGGCAACAAGGATGATCAAGAGATTAGAAACCAAGGCATATGAAGAAAGACTGGAAGAACTGGACATGTTTAGCCTTGAGAAAAGAAGACTTAGGGGAGATATGATAGGACTTTTCAAATACTTGAAAGGTTGCCAGACAGCGGAGGGGCAAGATCTGTTCTCAGTCATCCCAGAGTGCAGGACACGTACCAATGGGTTCAAGCTATAGGAAGCCAGATTTAGGCTGAATATCAGGAAAAAGTCTTAACTGTTAAAGCAGTACAGCAATTGAACCAATTACCTCAGGAGGTGGTGAGCACTCCAATGCTGGATGCATTCAGGAGAAAACTGGACAATCATTTGTCAGATTTGCTTTTTCTGGATCCTGCATTGAGCAGGGGGTTGGACTCGATGGCCTGATAGGCCCCTTCCAACTCAATTTGTTTGATGATACAAACAACCCACTGGCCAGTAGTCCTGACGGAAAAAGACAGCTTCAGCCCAACAGACATGTTGCTCATATCCACTTGACAAAGAGAATCAAACTGTTTTTATTCTTTAAATGTAAAAAAAAAAATATTGACATAATTGAGTAGATCTAAAATTGTTCTTTTTAAAACAGAAGGAGAGCCAGGCACTTTCAGAGAGCCCAGAGGCCGATCCTTCATCAGATCCCCTTCGGGGGTTGCACCAAACCCAAAAGGCTAAACTGGAAACCTGAAAATAAAACAATGGTAAACATTGGTGCCTGCTATGTGTTTAAAAAATTTGGGGCATGATTATCTAAGGGATTACCTGCCTCTTTATGATCCTGTCTGGATATTAAGATCTCCAGGAGTGAGAATCTTGAGAAGAGCAGGGGCTGCAGAGAACCGCTTTTCAGGCACGTGACAGGAATTTCTCCTGTGTGGCTGCGGAAGGTGCTTCTCTCAAGAGCCCCAGTTTCCACTCTCACTGTTTTCAGGAGTAGCGTGAAGACACATCTTTGATAGTGCCTAAAGTATTGTGATAATTTAAACTGAATTCATATGGTTGTATTGGGTTTTTATGGTCATGTTTGCCTTTATCTGATTTTAATAATTCTATGGTTAAATTTGGCTTTCCATGTTGTCCTTCATGTACCAACAGCAGCAACAATAAAAGTGAAATAAATCCCCACAGTTTATCTTCTTTGACCAAAAACCGGAGCAAGGAAGAGACTGGGGACCATAAAAGTGACCTGGGAGGGACTGTCAGGTGCCTGTGGGCCAGATGATTCCTTTTCCCATTTGAAGGCTTCTCTGACCATCTCAGCTGATAGTTGGGGAGGCTGTACAGGCCTTCTTTGGTTGAAGCTGTCCCAACTTAAAAATTTGGAGACGAGGCACCTTCAAGCTTTGCCTGTCGTTTGCTTCCCGTTTTCAGTCATGATTTACCCTCTTCCGTGACGTGAAGTTGTCCAACCTATTGCAAATGTTCTAGCTCTTTCTTTCCACTCGTTTTTGGCTGAATATCTGTCAAAGCTTTATGGTAGAGCATGCCATTTGTCATGCCAGATTCACAGGCCTGTGTGGAATATAATGATGGGACCAAAATGTCCCCTGCACAGGATTCTGCTTGTTAGCATTCCATTTCTAACTGTCCTTCAGTAGTACATTGACCTTTCAGATGCTGAGGTTGACCTGAATCATCATGGTAGGGAGTTCATGCACGAAAATAAAAATACACCCTCCTATTTTCATTCAAGCAGATTACAGTATAGTCCTCTCTAATAATAGGTTTGTAGTAGGCGGGAAAAATAACTTCGTAACTTATCAGTGGAGGGTAAACTATTCCTATTATAGCTTTTGTAACCTTTCCAACTGCTGTGCATTTTCATAGTCACTTTCCATTTGCAGAGTATTTTAGACAGATGCTTTGCTACTGAAGGGAAGACATTAAATTTGCCTCCACAACAAGTTATAAAGGGATTCTTTTATTTGGTATACTTTTTCTGGCTTCTCTCCACCACCATCTCCAAATCACCAAACAGTTATCCCTGAGTTATGGGAGAGGACAAAGACAAACTTGGTCTCATCTCATAGGGATGAGTAATGTTACCCTGACATAAAGAGCTTTTATTTTACAAGAGTGCACAGTGGGATGTTTCAGGGGTTAAAATAAGGACAGGAAAATCTATCACTTTTCCTTTATCTTACATTCAGATTCCTTTTTTCCAAACATTATATGAAGTGGGTCAATTTTGGCAAACCCCTCAAAAACATACTGGAATGAAAATCTCTCCTATTTTCATCACCAGATTGTACCTGCCTCTCATTTAGGTACTGAAGAGGACAAGTGGTGGGAAATGGCAGGTCTGTCCCTGTACTTAATATGGTTAAATACAGGGGAACTTAGGGCTCAGTCAAATGGGAATTTGTGCTGCTGCTTGGTCTGCTTCCAGGATGGTTCGCTTCCCTCTTTTCTTCTGCAATCTGATACTATCACTGGAATAAACCAAACCATCCCAACACAGTCCTACCAACACCTTTTTGAGCCCCTGTCAGGGGCTTCAATTTTTTTTGGTACAGGTTGGGTTGCTATGCTTTGGTCTGTTTCCACCATGTGTGATCACTTGGAATGGACCCAGCTGTCAAGTTCCTTCCATTGGGATTTGTGATGCTATTAAGTTGCTTAATAAGTGATATCCTGAAGCAGGATAAATTAAACGCTTCCTCTGCTCCTTGGTGGAGGGGCAGAGGAAGTAAAAAAAATCTCTGGTAGAATATTGCTGCATCACTTAATATGGAAAAAGGAATATTTTCTTTGGTTTCTTTTAAAGGATCAGTCAAGAAGCTGCAATTTCTTGACCGGTCCTTTAGACAAATCAAAGTAATTTTTTTAAAAAGTGATTCAGCATCTCGGTTTCTAAGCGTTGTTGTCATTAAAAAAAATCCCAAAACCTTTGATCCTGATTGAGAAAATGCATTTTTCCATGTTCAAATTTTGCAGATCTTTTACGTGTCATCCCATGCATTTTTGTGAATTCTCACAGAAAACAAACTGAAAACAAATTCTTTCCCATTTCTCATTGATATGTCTGATAATTAAACTTTGCATCCAGGCTGTTTCACATGAGAACACGCACGCACGCACGCACACACACACACACACAAACACACACAAACACACACCACTGGGTCTGGATGGATGAATGTACCCATTTCTTTTTTTCCCCCAGATTCTGATATATTTAACCTAAAATTCTTTCTGCCTAGAATAAATATACATTTGTGAATTTTGGAAGTTTCTTATCCATAATGAACTGAAGCAAAATTCACACTGATTCTGCTGTTTCAATTATATTATTTCTCTCTTTAGCCTCTAACGTTACTTGAGAATTTGGAAATCCTCCAGACCAGTTGTTAACAACCTTGGATAACCAGGTATTCTTGGATTGCAGACCCCAGAAACCCTTTTCAGTCACTGGTGGTGAAGGCTTCTTGAAAGTGCCGTCCAAGAACACCTGGGTTACGCAAGGTTGGGAACCACTGCTCCAGACAGTGTCCAAAACAGTTCAAGAGCAATTTGATGGAGCTGTATGCTGCTGCCAAAGCATTTATTTATTGCACATATATGAGGATACCTGGATTTTCAGTAAATGAATGGGTGCAATTTAAAAATACTATATATATTACCTTTTCTCCATTTAAGAATGAGGAATATGGGCAAGGATGCAGTGGCGCACGTGTGCTGGATCCTGCTGCTTCCATTAGAATCAGCAGTCCACAGTTCCTCGTGCAACTCCATGCACAAATGCTGTTATTTGATCAAACATTGGCTACAAATGTTCAGAGCCAAATCTCAAAGCTGTGAATTCTGTGGTACCAAACATTTATATTTGTTTCTGTTTGTAGGGAAAACAAGAAAAGAAATAAAACTTGAGCTGAAGGCAGAAACTGTTGTTACAGTAAACAGTTTTATCTGAACTTGGGAGCACTGTGTAAACATAAGTATTATGTTGTAAATACAAGAAGGAAAACTTACATTTTAGAATTCTTAAAATAATATTGACTGGTAGTCAACTTGCATATTAGCAGTCAGTTGTCTCAGGGAAACTATATAGGCAAGACTTAAGCAAACCTAATTTGGAGCGAGTTCCTCTTGGATGATTTGCTAGTATGGTAGATGTGAGGGGAAATGCCAGTTAACCACTTTTAAAAAGTTACATTTCAAATATACCATCCGGAAATAATGACATAACTTATGATAGTTTGGGGTTTTAAAAAAACTTTAACCTTGAGTTTCGTGGATTTAGAAAATGGAAGGTTTTCAAGAACTGAAGTATATTTCTCATCTCTTGCATTACTCTGTGTTGTGCATGGGTGAGCTTGTTGTTTATGTATCATACACCTGTCTATATGCATGTCTGTCTTTGTGTTTCTCTCCATTTCTGTATGTATGTGTGTGTCTGTTCTCAAATATTCCTCTATTTTTCAATATGGTAGATAAATGGGCCAAGTGAGAAGAAAAAGTGTTGAAAGGTTGTGTTGTCCAGAGACGTAGCCACCATGTGTTGGGTGTGATAGTCTTGTCAAATGCCTAGTAACATCTTCATTAGCAATAGTATAGTTACAAACATTACCATTACTACGTTGGCTGTGACAGTATTATAAAGTGCTTTTTAAAAAAAAAAAATCGTGTTCCTCCTTCTGAAAAAAAATAAAATATTGCTGAAGAGTTTTTGCATTTGTTTGAGGGAAAATATATAAAAAGTCCAGGTTTTCCCACATTTTTCCATTAGAAAAGTTGCCCACAAAAGCTCTACTATAGAAGAATGTTTTTCATACTTTTTGTGCTTTAATTCTTTTGTTCACACCTTTAAAACAGTTGCTCAAAATCATACCATGGAAAAATTGGTCTTATAGTACTTCCAGTTTTCCTGATTATGTTAAAGGGTTTCATCTGCCAGGAACTGAAGAAAGCTCTTATCCCATAAAAGAAATATATTTTTCCAAAGCCTATCATCTTCAAAGGCATATGAATGTGCTATTATGAATAAACCCTGGACTTGGCATTCTTGTTCCCATGAGAAACAGCAGGATTTAATTAGCATTTTGCTGTGAACAAACTGCAATTACTTGAGACATATTTAGGGATGGAGTGGAGGGGGAGATTTTAAAATGTAGTTTTGCTTTAGCTGTGTAGATTTGAGACAGACCAGCTTTATAAAATTATAGCTTGGTCCTTGTTTATTGTAACCAGCATGCAGCTGTAATTTTAGAAATGTTGGCTTCCTCTGACATGACTAAGAACTGTACTTCCTTCAAAAATGGAACATTTTGGGCTCCTCCTGTACATGAGGGAGAGAAGGGGTTCAATATCCAGGCAAGCCAACCAGTCTACTTCAGAGTATCGTAGAAGGCAGACCTTTTTTCTTGGTTCCAATTAGACAATCAATTCGAGTCTGTGTGTCCTTTTTTCAGGTTACTGGTATTGGAATCTACAGCTCCATCAGGAGATATTCGTCCACATCATATTGCATCAGTTGTTCCAAATCGGTATCCCCGTTGGTTCACTCTAAGTCACATTGAATCTCAGCAGTGTGAATTAGCATCAACTATGCTAACTGCAGCCAAAGGTAAAATATTCATATTTGATTCATTGAATACATGAGTTGATACTGGTTTCTTTCAGCTATAATGCTAAATTGTGGTTTAATGTTGTATGAATACTCCTTGGATTTTTCAGTTCTCTTTTTCTTCTCCTTCTGAACACTCTTATGAGATCAAAAGTGTCATTAATTAACTGCATGTTGTAGCTGCATCTGAACCTAGTCTAGGTTGGTGGTTATTAAGTGTCATTTAGGGAAATAAACCAAATTTTTAAACTACGCTGGTTGTTGTGAGTTATTTGGGCTCTTTGGCTGTGTTCCGAAGGTTGTTCTTCCTAACGTTTCGCCAGTCTCTGTGGCCGGCATCTTCTTTAAACTATGCTTTCTGTGTGATTTTTAAAGCATGTTTATAAATCTTGCCTTGTTTCCCTAAACTAGCCATCCCTGGGTGTTTTGGGCCTTGACTCTTGTGATCCTTTTACTCATGGCCATGTTAGCAGGGGCTGATGGGAGTTCAAAACATTTGGAAGACCACCACTCATTGGAAGAGGGTGACAACTGTGGTTAGATTAGTTTGTGTTTCCTGTTGGAAATTGTGCTAAACTGTGAAGAAGCAAAAGGTTGTTTTGCAACCATGTAAGTAAATCGAACTCTAGTATTCTACCCGATCCAGACAGCTGCATGTTTAGATTAATGACTGTTCTGACAGTTAGGCTTTTGACATAAGTCGTTGAAGAAGTACAGTGGTGCCCCGCATAGCAAGGATAATCCATTCCAAAAAAAATCATTGCTATGTGGATTCATCGCTATGCGGGGCAAAAAAGCCCATAGGAACGCATTAAAACACGTTTAATGTGTTCCTATGGGCTGTAAACTCACCGCTATGCAGAAATCCTCCATGCGGCCGCCATTATCGCTGCCTGGTAAGCGAGGAAAGGGCGCGAAAATGCTGCGGGCGGCCATTTTAATTACCCAGCGGCCATTTTGGAACCGCCGATCAGCGGTTCCCAAAACATCGCTATGCGAAAATTGGTAAGTGAAACGCTTACCGATCATCGCAAAGCGATGTTTTCCCATTAGAAACCGCTATGCGATCGCAAAAAAGGATCACAAAAAACACATCGCTAAGCGGATTCATTAAACAAATCGCTCGTTATGCGGGGCACCACTGTACAAAGTAATCACTTGCTAGCGACGTGACTATAACAGAATATCTGCAGGGTTTTTTTCCATTTCACACGTGTGGAAAGTTTATTTTGGTGCATTAGTAATGTGTGTTTGTAAACAGGGTCCTTCTAAAGAATTCTGTTGTTAATCTTTCTCTTGCTTACATGTGCATTTATGTAATTTTGGCTGGCCCTAATAATGGCAGAACACATAGCTCTTGGCACTAGTGGTGGAATTAACGGGAGGGTTGGTTTCATATTTTAGGTGATGTTCGAAGGCTTGAAACAGTGTTAGAATCTATCCAGAAGAACATTCACTCCTCATCGCACATCTTCAAGCTTGCCCAAGATGCATTTAAAATAGCTACACTTATGGATACTCTGCCAGATATCACTCTTTTGAAAGTCTCTCTGGAGCTGGGTCTTCAGGTATGTTTTTATTTAATCCAGTGCTAAGGTTCCAGTAAGAGACAACATATTTGTGAACCAGTTTCAAACATACTTTTCATGACACAGATAGTTTGAAGACTTAGTTTTCCCTGTCTAAACGAGGTATTGTCATGGTGTTGTTATTATGTTGGTGGGCCACAGCAGATGAATGAGTGGATGGTCTCACAAAGTACTTGTGAAGTTTGACAGGTGCTCATGGAGAAGGATGTCAGAGGTTTATTGTAAAACATCGGTGTAGGAAGAGTGTTGCTTTACATGCCCACGTCCAGAGCTTGTCTTCTGGAATGCCCTATTTTCCACATTTAGTTAGCTTGGGTTCATTAAGGGAAACGTGTGTGTGTGTGTGTGTGTTGTTTTTTTTAAAGGCATAATCTGAAATGAGTGTAACAAATATGGAATGTTATCACTGCTCTCTATAGTTTTGGCCTTTTTGATGTGTTGCATCTCAACATGTTGGGGTAGGTTGGTACTCATTACGGTTGGCTGGCTTTGTGGGCATTTCAGCTGGCAGTGTTGTGGTCTGACTCTCATATTAGAGAAACATTTCATCCATCTTCCCAGGATGCAAATATCTAAACTGGTGGTTCCCAACCTTGGGTCCCCAGATGTTATTGGACTGCAACTTCCAGAAATCCTGGCCAGCATAGCTAGTGGTAAAAGCTTCTGAGACAAGAACATTTGGGGAGTCAAGGTTGGGAACTACTATCTAAACAATTCATGCTGGCTAGTTATCATGGCTGCTGTGGCAGTAGTTGTATCATGTAGTACTACTAGTTCAATATCCACATTTTTTACCCAGCAGTTCAATCATAGTGTTTGTTTTTCTCCTGATTTGAATTGTGGAAATTATAAGGGTATTAGCATAGGCTGAAAATATTAAGGTCAAGCTAGAGAAACAGCTGGGGAAAGTAATGAGGGGAGTGTAAAGAAGAACTCAAAGCAACGGAACTGAAATAAATTGAAGAGATATAGTTTAAAAGATTAATTCTATATTCCATTGTAATGTTGTTACTTGCCATAAATACTGATACTGTTACCATAAATACTGAGGAACCTCGTGGCGCAGTGGTTAAATCGCTGTACTGCAGCCAAAACTGTGCTCACGACCTGGGATTCAATCCCAGGTAGCCGGCTCAAGGTTGACTCAGCCTTCTATCCTTCCGAGGTTGGCAAAATGAGTACCCAGCTTGCTGGGGGGGGGGACAATGTGTAGCCTGCATATTTAACTTGTAAACCGCCCAGAGAGTGCTTGAAACACTATGGGGCGGTATATAAGTAGCACACTTTACTCGTTACTTGTTTGGGACATATTGGTATGCATATAAATGTTTCTAACCATTTCTTTAAAATCCTGATTAAAAGTTTTAGAAACTATAAGTTCTTGGCTACTTGAAGTGCTTTAGGTAAAGGTAAAGGTTCCCCTTGACATTTAGTCAGTCGTGTCTGACTCTAGGGGGCGGTGCTCATCCCCGTTCCCAAGCCATAGAGCCAGCGTTTTGTCCGAAGACAATCTTGTGTGGTCACATGGCCAGCGCGACTTAGGCACGGAATGCTGTTACCTTCCCACCGATAATTAAACTTTGCAATTTAATTAATCTTGCAGTTTAATTAAACTGTGCTTTCGAACTGTTAGGTTGGCAGGAGCTGGGACAAGCGACGGGAGCTCACTCCGTCACGTCGATTCAATCTTACGACTGCTGGTCTTCTGACCCTGCAGCACAGAGGCTTCGGCTGTTTAGCCCGCAGCGCCACTATGTCCCTTGAAGTGCTTTAGGTTACATTAAATACTTTAGGTAACAATAAATGCTCCTTTTTCTTTATAGGTGATGCGCATGACTTTATCAACACTGAATTGGCGGCGACGGGAAATGGTGAGGTGGTTGGTAACATGTGCAACAGAAGTAGGTAAGTGTGTCGCTTGGTCTCAGAAAAACATTTGAATAACTCGCTGTGGAAAATGACCTATCACTTCAGGTGTAACATTTCACATAATATTTACTAGATCTCTTACCATGTTGCTTTCCCAGACACTCCATATTAAATACTTGTGTTGCTATTTTGAATTTCAGTTTTAGGAAATGGGCAGCATCTATTGTGAAGGAGCCCATGCTCCATGTAGGTGATTCATTTCAGTCCCATGAGTGCAGCAATACAGAGAATGTAACTTTGAATTCCTACTGTACTCCTAGACATATCAAGTACAAATTGCACATTGCAATAATCTGTAAAGGTTCAACAGATTAAAACATTTCTTTAGTCAAAAACATCCCCCTTCTCCAACTTGATACCCTCTGTATATGTTCGCCCACAATGTCTGTCACCACTGGCCATCATTATCGTAACAATGAAAGTTCTAGTTCAACCCTCTGGAATATATTTATTTATTTATTTATTTATTTATTTATTTATTACATTTATAGGCCCGCCCATCTAGTCATACAGACTACTCTGGGCGGGTAACAACATATTCTGAGTTGCGAAAAGCTACCTTCCACAGATTATCACAAGGAACTGGGGGTATCTGCCATTGTAGAAGAACTCAGTGAATATCTGCAGTGTTATCTTTATTGACAGTTTAGGTGTGTCTTCTGCTAGGTCAGTCAGAATAGCTCTGTTATGAGAAACTATGTGTTCCCTTACATGCTGGTTGAATCATGTATACCTTTTTGTAATAAAAATGCATTCTTTGCATAGTTTCTGCAAGGACCTTTTTGTATGTCTCCTAAACCACCCTAAATTGATTATTCATTAGGATCTTGGTCCATAATATCAAGACGTTATTACTTCAAGTTGCTTTTGTTTGTAGCTTTCAAATTTGCTCACTATCATAACTATGAAGTATAGTCTGTTGTTAATTTTTTGGAGGGCAGTGTTTGAAAATAATGTTCTTTATATTTTGTTTCTTTTTTTCTTCTGTTAAGATGAGTGCTATTGTTAGAACAGATCTTATAGATCAGTTTGCCCTACAAAAACTGTATTTGTGTTTTCATTAATATTTAATAGGAGCACTGTTCCATACGTTTTCATCAACTAACTGTCACCAACACATTCTCACCCTCTTTTTCAAAACACTTCCCTTGCTAATTTAAACCAAATTGTATTCTAGATATTAGAGGGCAAGTATGTTGTTCTGCTCAGTTGATTATTGGCAAGGAGATTTATTCAGCAGTATATTTGCATATATATGTATAGCTTCCATAAGGAAGCTGTAATGTCATGCAAAAATCACCTCGGAGACTCAAGCAAGGTTTTAAATGGGGGATATGTTTGTTTATGTAAATGAATACCAGGCATTGAGTGGCTGGCCTTAGTAACTCATTCAGGGTAAAGGGGCATATGTATATGCATGCATGCATTGTACAGCAGGGCTCAACTGAGCAAAAGAAGGACCTCTGGGTGTGGTTAGATGAGTGCACAGATGTGTGCAGATTACTTTAAGCAATAATAAGACACTCAAGATGCCTCTAAGCATCAATTTATGGAGTCGATCAGTCATTGTTCATCCTCACATGAGCAACAAAAGGGTACTAAAGAAACCAGCATATTTCAAATAGGAAAGCTGGTAGTGACTATAGATGAGTATGTTTCCTTAAGGATAGAAATGGGGTTATATCCAATGCAGTGTAGATGTCTTTTCTGAAAGGATGTTAGCTCTTGAAAAGCACTGTGTTTGCTTTAGTGATTTGTTTGGGATGGGCAATCTCCCTTGTTTGAACCACTCAAATTTGTGGAGCAGGGTAGTTCACATAAACATCACAGGATGTTTTGTGCTGATATGCAAGCATATGGCCAAAATTCTTGAGCATAATTGATAATGGTGTAGGGCAAATACACATACCACAGTGGCAGATCACCAGTAAATGGAAACAGCAGTAGAATTCCTCACTGTGCATAAATTGGGTGGATTTGCACATGACTTGGAATCCATGTGGGAAATCTTTAATTAGTGGCTGCCCTAATGAAAGAGTCCCCACCCAGTTTCTGGGTCACATACTAAGCCACCTAACTTGTACACAATGAGGAATTGCAGTTAAGACTCGAATTAAGGACATCCTACTAATGTGATTATGTCATTTCCCCTCTGCCAGTATAAAATATGCAAGAGATTTTTGCAGGTTTTACTTGTTTTTATTCTTTTATGAAGAATGTAAGTCCCCTTGAGCACTACTTAGTAGTGGGGAAACGAGTGTACATATAATAAACATATTTTTAAAAAAGAAAGAGAATGTTGGCAGTTATTGCAAGGTTTTCCCCCCACATCATTCATGATACCCACGAGAAGCTTGCAGAAAACTTCATTTGAGGTGTGAACTGAAAAAGTGGCTTCAAGTTAAATCCCCTTGAGGCTGTTTGGTGGGCAGGGAAAAGTGGACTACCTTGCTAAATTCAGTCTGCCACAAATAACTTTGGTTACACTCCATAGAGGTAGGGAATAAGCCTGAGATCCTTGACTGTAACCTTTAATTGAAACATGCCACAGATTGTGCATCTGAAACACTCTACCCTTGAGGGGACTGGGCCTAACTGATATTTCAAAGATATTCCAACATTCTTCCAGAAGGTCTAGGTTGTTGTTTGCAATGGAAAGGCAACCACATGGGGGGCAACAGCAGGATGAGTCTGCCACAGAATGATTGGCCTCCCCATTACTTTCTCGAAATTTCCTCCTTTCCAGAAGACATTGCTGTGCTTGCCCCACCATGGATCCATTTATTTGAAGCAGGGATGTGTGCATTGCTCTTCTTCAAGGCAACCCAAATTGTTTGACCTGCATGACTAACATAACTATCAGTAGCAGAGGTCTAGGGGCCAATTCTGCCTTTCCTCAGTTCACAGCAAACTACTGCCATACTGCGACCTACACATTGCTCCAGGCAGGAAGCATTTATTTCATTGTGACAGTGGCTGTTTGTGCTGCCAGAGTCTTGTGGGATATGCTGTGTTTTAGCCACTTAAAGGCTATTTCATCATTCTAGACTCTTTTTTGTTCCTCAAATAACCTTTTCTTTAAAAGAGAGATTGACCAAAAATGGTTATTTTAAGCCTTTTAAAAGCTGGGGGGTGGGATGCTGATATATCAGTTAATTTATGAGTTGTGTCTCCAGATACTTTTAAGAGTGTGACTGACCATTTTCACATCAGTTTTCTTTTTATTGGGGGTAATCTGGGTGGGATACAGGCTACACGTTATCTGCCCCATTATATAACAGTAACTTTGTGCTGATGTCAGTTCTGAAGTATGGAAATCCCTTCCATGGTTTTCTAGTTATATTTAGAAGTGGTCTACCATTCTCATCTTCTGGGGATGCTCTGGTGCTGTGCAACAGGCCCAAGGCCACACAGGCTGGCTCTTCCCCCAGAAGGCACAGTGGGGAATCAAGTGTTCAGCCTTTCACCTTTGTATTGGCCTGTTTAATTTTCATGAATTCTACTCCGACACATTCTGGAGAACAGTGTGTCACGGCTTGAGGCAATCATTTAGAAAAACTAGAAATTCTGTTAACTCAAAATCTTAGCAGGTGTTGTCAGCACACTTTCAAATGTATCTTTATGAACATAGGGATTAGCCCCTTATTTATTTATTTTAAGCAGCTGAGTTATCTGGACAGTGAATTAACCACTTTCGTTGCCACACATGTGGAATGTGTGGGCACTGATGAGGATTTTTGCAAACTGTTATGTTCAGTTGCCTTCAGGACTGAGTTCTTTCTCTAGATCCAGAGAACAAACTGACAGTGTTTGCTTACAAACATTTTTATGTGCCTCACAGGTGTTTATGCACTGGATAGCATCATGCACAGCTGGTTTACACTTTTCACTCCAACGGAAGCCACTAGTATTGTTGCCACCACGGTGATGTCCAACAGCACTATCGTCCGCTTGCACCTGGACTGCCATCAGCAGGAGAAGCTGGCCAGCAGTGCTAGGACGCTTGCTCTTCAGTGTGCCATGAAGGATCCTCAAAACTGTGCCCTCTCTGCACTTACCTTATGTGAAAAGGATCATATAGCTTTTGAGACTGCTTACCAAATTGTTCTCGATGCTGCTGCAACCGGCATGAGTTACACGCAGCTTTTCACGATAGCACGATACATGGAACATCGTGGTTACCCTATGCGGGCCTACAAACTGGCAACCTTGGCCATGACACATCTCAACCTGAGTTACAATCAGGACACGCACCCTGCCATTAATGATGTTTTATGGGCATGCGCACTTAGTCACTCCCTTGGCAAAAATGAACTAGCGGCTATAATACCTCTGGTGGTCAAAAGTGTCAAATGTGCAACAGTACTGTCGGACATCTTACGCAGATGTACTTTGACCACTCCTGGAATGGTGGGACTGCATGGAAGGAGGAACTCGGGGAAGCTCATGTCGTTGGACAAAGCCCCGCTAAGGCAACTGCTGGATGCCACAATTGGAGCATATATTAATACCACGCACTCGCGACTCACGCACATCAGTCCAAGACATTACAGCGAGTTTATAGAGTTTCTGAGTAAGGCCCGGGAGACTTTCTTAATGGCTCACGATGGACACATTCAGTTTACACAGTTCATTGACAACCTAAAACAAATCTACAAAGGCAAAAAGAAACTGATGATGTTGGTTCGCGAACGGTTTGGTTGACACAAATATGTGTGAATGGGGTGGGGGTGGGGAGGAAGAGTGGGAGGGTGATATGTTTTTACTTGAGCCTGCCTTTCTATCCTTTTTAACTTAAACAGAGCCACGCCGGTATTATATGTGTATAGTTATATACTGAGTTTGCAAGACTAAAATGTCACGTTGTGAAAGTTTGTGTGTGCGGGGTTTTTTTCTCTTCCCTTTCCTTTTCTGTTATGTATGAGAGATTGAGAGGCTTTAAAAAAATGATTGGTTTACACTGAGTATATGTTGTCAGGTGGCAAAAGTCCACACAGCTCTCCTCTTCTTTCTGTATATGTTCACAGCCTCAAGAAAAAAAAATGAAAAGAAAAAAAGAGAAATATATTGCAATGGCTTTAAAAAAAAACCAAACAAAAACACCTCCATCCTCTGATTAAGTACCTCGAATGGCTCCAGCTTTACTCTTTTGTAACTCATCCCGACATTTCAGCTTATTTAAATGAACCAACCACACCAAGAAGAAATAGTTTCAAAGGCTGACCCATGTGGCTTTGCAGTGCTTGTTCATCCAGAAGCATGGCACACGATGCTTGTGCATGTGGAAACTTAGCGACTGTCAACATACATTCTCAGGGATTTATCTGAAAAAAAAAATAACGAATGAGAGCATTTATTGTACTGTATATATATATTATAGTCTATGTCGGAATATTGAGAAAAATATAACATTAGCTAATTTATAAAAAAAAATCTATAATGCGAAATACTTGAAGCTGCAGTAGCTTGGTTTGAAACAAACAAACGAAAAGAAAACATACTGAAAAGACGCAAGTGCTCCTAGCTTCAGGGCTGGCTCAGGTGATGAACTTAATATGCTGGGCATCTATGCAGAGCCACCTTTTTTGGATTGCGTTATTGGATGGACATATGGGGAAAATTATACATATATATATATATTTATACGAATGAGTGTATGCATATATATATATATATATATGTATACACACTCATGCGCTTGAAACAGGCACTCTAGTAAAGAGGGGACAACACAGCCAGAGCAGCAAGCCTTAGCATTAAGAATACAATATGCCAGATTTGGGGTTTGTGCCTCCTAGCCTAGAAAACTTAAAATATCCTCTCTCTTTTTTTCCCCACACACACACTCACAGGGTGGCTACAGATAATAATGTACCACATTGTCACCACTTGTAACTGCGTTGGGATGCATTCAAACTATATTGCATCCTGATCGCCTGTCACTCCCGGCCATTTGAGGAGGTGAATTTTTTTCCCTTGCTTTATTTTGTTTTGTTGTAACCACTGGTCTAGCAGCAACCAAATTGCAGAAACAGCAATTTGGTAGAAAACACCTTGCCGTGCGGCCGGTCACTGCAAGCAACCTGTTTGCTCTGCTGTTCGTGTGCATTGCACTTAGCTCACAAGTGGTGACCATGGGGTAGTTGCTGTTCTGTCTGTACCTGCAATGTTTTCCAAAACAATTGACATAAATGCATTATGCCTTTGCAGTGAGCTAATAATAAGCTAACCTCTGTGCACAAATAACATATATATATATATATATTATATATATAAATATATTCTGCATAGGTATTTATTTTTGTGCAGGACAGAAAGTTGTGTAGGTATGACTGTTCTACTTCTCAGTTTGTTTGTTTTTAAAATATTTTTATTTCCTTTAGAATGACTTCAAAAGAAAGCAGCCTTCTATCTTGCCTTGTCTTAATGCTTTAAAATAACCAAACTGGAGATCTAACTACCAAACTGTTCATTATTATTATTATTGTTGTTATAATTATTATTACCAACTTTGGTTACAGTGTAGTGTCTTTTACTTTAGCTGATGGTTCTGTACCCTTGTGCTTTTTAAAGCTTTTTTTTAACATTTTGGTGCAAAAGTCGTCCTGTGTCTCTTGTTCCTTTTGTTAGAAAACATGCTAGAGGTATGTTTGTAGACTTCTTTTTATTTGTTTAGAGGAAAAAAACTTGTTCCATGCTCTCCATTTTATTTATTATACTAGGGAAAAAGGTTGTACTTCATCACTCATGTAAACATGCTCATGAAGTTGAAAGTAATTAAGATTTGATACACTGATATCAATTTATTTATGTAACTAAATCACTGTTTTATAAACTTGTTAATGATCAACAATTTTTTTTGTTTCAATTAAAATTAGTTTTTTGAAAGTTGATTTTGAACTCCTTTATGATATCTGTCACCTGAGTGGGCAGTAAAAATGCTTCTTCAAACTGAAACATTCTTAATGACTGTAATGAAACATTTCAGTGTTGAATAATCTTGGTTTACCCAAGAACTGTTGAACTGGGGCAACTGGACTGAAAATCTCTTGCACTAGCAGTAGCACAAGTGGCACTACAGAGAAATGACAGACTTCACAATTGTTCTTGCTGTCAGTATGAATCTCACAGTCTCTTAATCTCAGAGAGCAACTGAGGGTGGGGTGGGGGAACACTATTCTCATGTCGCAAAAGTACTTCTATATGTGAAATGTCTTTGTCCAAAAAGACTCACTGGAAATTTTGCTGGGTATCGTGGAAGCTTAGTGGTCTTTTTTTTCCCTGACATAAATGAAAAGCTACACAGGATTATTATAATTCTTGCACAAAATTGAATCTTTACTGCACAAGACTCATCTGGAAAGGCCAAAGAAACACCAAGATGCAGGATTATTTTAATTCTTATGCCAAATGGCATTGTTGTATTTCAGAGTTTACCAATAAAAGAAAGTGGAAGAAACACTATGCTCCACAAGAGTGGTATAATTCCTCTGTAGAATGGCACCACTCCTGCGCAGGATTAATTAGAAATGGCATTAGAACTCGGTAGTTTCCTGTGCAAGCAAAAAATGGGTGGGTGGGGGGAAAAGAACAGGTCTCCTTTTTTCAGGAAGCCAGGAAGACTTTTTGATGGCAGGGGAAAAATTCGTGCGAGGTCTCAGCATGGCAACACTCAGAAAATCATCAAGAACAGAGTACTTGCCAAATCCCTAGCATGGGTAATAAAAATCATGGTCTAATTTTACATCCATATCTCCTAATGCAACAGCACTTGCGTTAGTGCAGTGTTACCATGGGATTCACTTAAAGCTGTGGCTGGATCAAGATCCAAGATTGAAAATGTCCCAGGATGTTCTAGAAATGATAAAGAGTAATGTTAGGATGGTTCAGTTTCTAGCCGAGTGTACAATCCTCACATTGAGGCACCACAGTTGACCATTTCCAGAGTTCTAGTGTGTAGCCATTATTAGGTCAACCAGACCTTAACATGAGGACAACCCTGTTCTTGAATTCTCCTTGGATGCATAAGTTGTCCATCATGAGTATCAACTCACCCAAACATATGCTGTTCCATGTGGTTATGTTTGTTTTTATTGGCTGCCTAGTTAAAAATTACATTTCAAGTACTGTATAAGAATCATGTCCCTCCAAGTCAGAGCTTGCTGGGATATGGCACATCGGCTACCTGCAGTCCCTCATCATTTTTTAGGTCCATGGAATTCCCAAGGCTTCCCTTGAAAAAGGAATTGTTAAACATAGAGAGTTTTCCAGGGAGTGCAATTCTTTAAATTGGAAAAAGGTTTGTAAAATAATTTGTTTATATGTCTGTGTGTGTTTTTTAAAAAATTAAATAGAAGACTTCCAGTCATGTCCAAGTTTCAGAAGAAGAAAGTTAGATAGCTCATGATGGACCAGACACAGAAAGTTGGCTCCTGGGCTTTCTGATATTGCCTTAAGTACAGTGCATAGACACATGACTTTACTCATCTGTATTCTTATTAAAATGCAATACAATTGCAGCATTTCTTGTCATTACATAGCCAGCCTAACAGTCTATATAGAAAATGCCAGAAGCATGAGATTTACGTTAACTGATGTTTGCACCATACCAGTGATTTTAAAAATAATGATCTTAACGTGTTAACCTTCTAGAAGTGGAAAGTAGTTGTGACAATACCACAAAGTACATACCTGTGATACTCATGACAGTGACATATATAGATATAAGCAAAAGTTGGAAATAATGCCAAATGAGATTGTTGTCTCTCGTAATGGACTTTGTGGGTTATTTGATCTGGCATTAAATTTGATCATGATGGACTTTGTGTTTTATATGTGAGATAGAAAAACAGGTCTGTTTCTAATTTTTTTTAATCCATACTTTATTCCATTCCATTTCTGTGTAACAATGACTTCCTTTTGAAAAGATGCATAAAATTTATATGCCTTCAATGTTCATGACTTCTGATATGCATTGCTTTAAATTTTTTGCGAATATGTGTATTATAGTCAGCAGTTTTTGGACTAATATGCTAATTTTTGTGGGCACTTCCCAAAAATATACTTTTCTTTAAATTGAAAGTTGTACCTTTTTTTCTGTGCCTGAAAGCTTTCATTGTTCAGACAGCTGCATGGCTAAATTCATAGAATCACAAATATTACCGGTTAATGCTCTTCTAGTCTGTGCATTGAATGGGAAAGGTAATTTTGATAAGTTTGTATCAAAATGCAAACTGAATTAAATTGTCCTGGATTCCTGTGTATGTTGGCATGAGAAAGGGATATCAGATGGCATTCATAAGAAAAGGAAAATGTCAATCCTACCATCACCTGTCACTCCAAAATTAGTGACAGTATTTTCACACACAGTCTGACCAGTTTTTTTCCCCCCTCAACAGCTGTTAGGAATCTACCAACATGAAAGATTCAGCAAAGATCTGGTACACGTCTTATTCACCAAAATACTTCTATACATGGAAATATAAGATTGTTTCTCTATGAAAAGAATTTTTAAAAATTGATTTCTTACAAATCACCAAGGTGAAATTGGGAATAGAGTGTTGCCATGTTGCTCATGGTTCATTATGAGCTCATGATGACAATGTGTTTCCCAAAGTGACAAACAGGGCATCTGAAAGTTGGGGGGGTAGCATATCAAAAATGCAGAAGATATTTCTGCTTGGTATGTGGACAGCTGCTGGGAAAAAATAAATTGAAAAGCAACTTCACTTTTCATCTGATGAAATACTTCGTATCCGGTAAAGTAGCAAATATTTTAATATTTATCATCCCATTAACATCAATATGATTCTGTAAACGTTTTGTTGCTTGCAACTTTTTTAAAAACTATAAACTCCTCCTAATGCATGTTTTCCCCCTCCAGGGCACCCCTAGATGATTTCTATAGATCCATGACTTAGCTTACAATTTAAAACCCTAAAGTCAAAGTGCATCAAATATTTAAAGTTTCTCATGAGGCATCTTCAAATTGGAGAGACGGGAGAAATAAATTAATTTGATAATGCACACGCTACTATTATAATATTTTTATTGGAATGATTCCATACAAATTTAGAATAATAAACTGAAGTCTTAATTTTTGCTGCACAAGAGCAAGCATTCCAAACCAATGTGATGAAACACATTGGTTCGGAATTAGTGGTAGCAGCAACTGTTGACTTTGCCAAGAAAACGATGAAACTGTCACACCTCATCTGCCAAAGATTGCATAAACAGATTACAAAATTAGATATGATAGAGTGGCAAAATTGGTGTATTGGTCATTATGCAAAAAATAAAACTTGTCGGCCTCCAAAAACCCATGGGAACATCAGGTAGAAAAGGGGTCAGAAAATGAGGAAGTCAAGAACTTGTGGAATTTCTGGATCCAAACTGATAGACATCTGGAACTTAACACACCAGACACAGTAGTAATACAAAGAAGAAATATCTGGATCATTGACATTGTGACGCCAGTGGATGACAGAGTTGAAAACAAAGAATTGGAAAAATTAAGAAAATACAGAGATCAGGCAAACAAAACATCTTGCTTGTGGATGAAACATACCTCAGTGTCCCCATCCTTATTGGGGCTTTGGGAACAATATCAAGAAATCTCACACAGTATTATAAGCAGTTGCAGATTCCAGAAGTAACATCAAAAGAGCTACTAAAATTAACTATATTAGGAACAGCATGTATACTACATTTGTACTTAACAGATACAAATTTTAGTCGATGTTCTATATCTGTTGTATAATACATCTTAACACAATAGCATATCAGTCGATGTTTTCATAATTTTATAATTTTGGTTGACTGTCTGGTATTTAATAATAATTATCTTTAATTCTTGCTGGAGCAAGTGGAATTATAAGCATATAAAAATCATTAATACGACACACCTATACAAAACATTGCATAGAACGGACTTGGGATATCCATGCAACAGTACTGGCAATCAACCCCCCTCCCGGTGACATTGGCATGCCAACGTTTCAATGTATCTTCTCAGAGAATAAAAAAAGTTATTACTTGCCGGTAATGTAACGGCAGAAGCCCCCCCCCAGTGACATGCTTTTACCAATGTACCAATATATTGGGCCCATTATTTTTTAAAAAATGTGTGTGCTGCAATAATAGCAGCCATCTTCCTGGCTTCAATTTTGAAAAGAAGCAGAGCAGGGCATGAACACAGGCAATCCCAGTAAGGAATGCACTGCTACAACAAAGGTAAAAAGTAACACAATAAGCAGGGCCTCCGTTATAGCTTTATAGTTCAAACTCAGCACTTTAAGTCTGTGGCGGAAAACATGGTTAGCACCTAGGAACCCACACAGGTCGCACTGGGGACTTGTTTCCCATGTGCAAGGAATACACATTTTTTAAAATTTAAAAACTGCTCTGAATAGGCCCTAGGATTTGGAAAGTTCATTTTTTGAACAACCAGGATTCCCCAGCCAGCATTTGGTTTTCACTTCATATGTGGCGGGGCAGATCTACCTGCTCCTGCCATGGCACCATCATGATGCTGACAACACCTCCCCAGGTGCCGAGTGCAGGAAGCTGGTTGCTGCCTCTGCACATGTGCCGGCCTCCCAGCTAATCAGGGTGATCAGCTGAGGGTCAGGTGCATGTGCAGTGGCAATGCCTGGGCTCCTTGCAGTGGTGTGTTTTGGTTCGTGGTTTGGTTCATGCCCATTTCTATTAACAGAATAACATTTCATGCTTCACTGTGTCTCTGGTCTAAATAAAATCGAGCACTGCTTATTGACTTCAAATAAGACATTGGACAGTAATCTGAATCTTAGCCGCCCTTCTGCTCAGTATGGAATGGAGATGAACCATTAACTGTGCATCTAAGAAAGCTGTTAAGTGGACTATTGGTTCAACC